CAACTGCCATGTGATTGGTTGATTAGATAATTGCATTAATGAGAAATTGAACAGGTGTTCCTAATAATCCTTTAGGTGAGTGTATATATCTAGTAGCACAAACACTCCTATTAGGCCTCATGGCCTAAAGAAACCAGCCCTGCAAACTCATATATATGTATACACAATCACACACACATACATACAGTACATACACACACACACACACGCAGTATATATAAACTAATCTGAAAGCCAATTAACCTGGATTTCAAAATATACTGCATCATCTGGGGGCAAAAAAACTATTTGGTTGTTGAATTATAAATGGATTATACAAGTTTTATCAGGTACTGATTGTAAATTTACAGACCTATTTGTTCTGTAATGTAAACCACATTTAGGCTTTTTGCGTAAATAACTTTTTTGACCATGCAACAGAGTTTTTTTTTTAATGGAACTTTACAAAGTATAAACTAGGCTGTTATTGTCAGGGTCAGCACCTGTCAGAGCCTGCCCTTCATGTTTCTTCCCCATTTGGATAGCAGGTGTTGCTGGCCATCCCGTTCTCCACCCTGTCTCTTGTCCTTCAGCCCCAGTGTGCGCTTCCTATTCCCTGACGTGCTACATGGCTCCGTGGGTTGAGTACATGGCTTGGAGTCTATGAACTCCTTGGACTCCATGATTCAAGGCTGGCTAGACACCAACCTCACCTGTATTAATTTTTTTTGGTTTTTCGTTTCCCTAGTGTGTGTTTCTCGTTTGTAGCTATCCTCCCCTTCTGCTGCATCTAATTACGTTATACATTATTGTTATGGTCCTAGTTGTCCCAGTATTGTTAAGCTTTAGTATTTGCTATGTTTCCTAGTTTTTTTGCTTATTAGCTGTAGTGAATTCCTCCTTTTGCTCGTTGTCCTGTGCTTTCATTGATTGGTTAATTTGGGTATTGTTTTCAACTGTCCTGCGTCATGTCTTAGCCTTGTGTAAATTTAAGTGCCTGCTACTACTCTTTTCTCTAGCCAGTAGTGATGAGAAAAGTAAGTTTTCTGAAGCAATCAAGCTATAAATCCAAGTATGTTGTAAAAGGGTTCTTTATTCAAAGCTTTGTAGAACAAAGTGCATGTTAGCGACCCCTAATGGTAAAAATAGTAATTAGCATAGGCCAATACACATTTGTGTTTGGGTCACTCCAGAGAACACGTCTCCACTGCTCTAGAATCCAGTGGCAGTATGCTCCTGAGAGTGACCCATTCTTTCTCAAATATTTGTAGAAGCTGTCTGCATGCCGAGGTGCTTCATTTTATACAGCTGTGGTTATGGAAGTGATTAGAATTCAGTGATTTTGAGGGGTGTCCCAATACTTTTGGCAATATAGTGTATGTAAGATTAGGGGGGTGGGTGTTAAAGATTTTTACTAAAGAAGAGTATTTGGAGTTCAGTTGTGGGGTTCAGTCTGTTCATTCTCTTACACACAACCTTCCCAGCCTTTGAAAAAATACGTTCACATGGAACTCCGAATGCTGCAATGCATAAAAGTTGCAGTGCTAAAATGTAAAGAGAAGGACAGACATTTTTTTGTGATGCCCAGTACTGAAGTGGATCCTCAGATCTAGGGATATAATTTGGTCACTAAGGTAGCGCTGAACCTCAACAGTTGCATCAGCTGTGGCATTTCTGACCTGCCTGATTTCCTCCAAATGGTTGTCCAAGGGCCCCACAGATTCTCTGCAAAATTTTAAAAACAGCAACTATTGCTGAACTGTCAATACCTTCCTATAACATACTGTTACTTAAAGTCTACCACACTGAATTGCAGAAGCAGCTTTTTGAGCTTCTGGTGGATGTTCTACCAATGCCTTCAGTGTAGAAAACTCTACAGCTGTGTCCATTGATCTCCTGATAACTGCTGCACATTCTGCTGTAAGCCTTTTTACTGCTGCATGGACATTTGTGGAGCTGCAGAAACAAACATTCTTGAACGTGGGATCCAGCAGAGTGGGAATGCTCATAACACCCATGGTCTCCCATACAGATATTTTTTCCATTCAGTCGTATCAGGATATTGGCAAGGTGAACGGCCTTCACATTTGCCAGTTTTGCCATTTTTGAGCTTAAGGACTGCCTCAGCATTTTTATGAGTGGTATCACTTTTGACCCTGACATTCTCTTATCCTCTGACAGCTCTATAGTGGCCAATTGGAAAGGATTGAGAACTTCTACAGTATATACTATTTTATTGAGTTATACTCTTCAGAGCAGAGGGGTAACATCAGTTTTTAGACTGACTAGGGCAACCCTCAATGGCTCCCTTTAGTTGAACAAGTGCTGCATCATTACAAAGGTGCTGTTCCAGCAAGTGTCTTGAATAAGTTGGTATAAACTGGCATATCCATCATATCATCCAGCATATGATCCATCAAGGCCCACAGAGCTGATGGATCACATGCTAGCTTGGTGACCATCAGCCCTGTTTCATTTTTGGGAAACTTTTCTTGCAACAGCTGCCCTCAGAGTTGCAGGGGGGGGGGGGGCGTGCTGGCTAATCTCCCACTTAAGCACTGTTGCTCTGGATGCCAACAAAATGCACACCTCCAGGCTGGCAGCTTGTTCGCTGTACATACTCGGACTTCGGATAGCTTAGCACTACAGGCAGATACTACTGTCTCAGCTGCAAAGCGACAAAGAAAGCCAAGCCTCTGCTTTTACCACAGATGGTTTGGGGG